AAACAATAATTGAAATACAAAATTACTCTGCTTATGATGCCAACTTAGAAATCTGAAATTCCAGCCAATATCATTTTGAATAACATGAAGTTTGTCCCATACTCATTTCGATACCCAAAAGAAAATGAGTTGCAACAAAAATGAGTCCAAGTTTTTTCTGTGTTCGACGGTCAGCGTCGAAAATTGTTTTTCGCGGAATAAAAAATTTCAAATTATTTTTTTTTTTAATTTTTCAATCCAAATAATACCTTGAAAAATACTTCTCAAGCATTGTGTGGACCCAAAACCTTTTTAAAAAATGTTTTAATATTTTTTAAACGCATGAAAATAATTTTCGATGCTGAGCGTCGGCGCCAACTTCATGAAGGTATTTTTGGGAGGTTTTATAGTGGTCCAGTGTCAAAACTCTTATGTAGGTAACGAAACTTTGGTGTTTTAATGTAGGTTCAATGAAAGTTCAAAGGAGGTTTAACTATTTCTAGCCTATATGCTGGAATCGTTTTATTCATAAATATATAAAACTTATTGAAAAACTAAAAATCTGTAGCATTTAGAACAGTCTTAGAAATTAAGAGCTTTAGAACTTAGAATAGACCTAAAAAATATTTAGAACTGAGCCACTTGGGCAAGAAAGTTTATATTGACTTAACTTCGTACACCATGTATGAAAAAGTAGATAAAATTGTTAATCCAACGACATAAGATATAAAATGTTGACCATATTGTTAAATCCGCGAAAGGGAATAAAATGTAAAAGATTTTAATCCCAAACAATTCCTTCTGAAATGAGTGACATTAAAAATTTTCTACTCCAAAAGTAGAATTGATTTATTGTTTTTATAATTCCTTTCAATGACATGTGATATATATAAGCAAACAGTAAAATTTAATTCTGTAGAACTTTACGGGCTCCCTTTCTTTTACCACTTGGAGCTGCAAATTGAAGCTTATCAATTGCGACTGCAGCCAACTTAAATTTAAAATACCCGCATTTGCCTGGATTTTTAACTAGGGTAGAAAACCTCTTATGGCTTATTGGCCGTCGAGTTGTGACTGTACATTTGGGAAAAGTCATTGCAAATGCACAAACACATCCTAGACGTCAAACCTTCTGCTTGATATATCTCGACCGCAGTATAAAACACCATCAGGGCTATAAATAATAAAATTTGTGGCGCAGACATATATTTCAAGTCGAACTTGGAAATTATTATTGTCAAAGTTCAAAAGTGTAAACTTTTTCAAGTCACTAGGCCAAATCGGAAAATCGGAGCAAAGCCAACTTCAGTTTAAAAATATCACAATTATTGATTTTTCGATTTTTGACCTAGAAAACAAATGTTATATGGGTAAAGTCACTTTCGACTTCTAAGAATAAGAATTTTTTTATAATTTGCAAGCACACATTGATGTCTTTTTGCACACATATACCTATATATGTCGTAGCATTAAAAATTCGTAATGGTAATTCATTATTTTAGTGTATATGCTATTTATATTAAATAGTTGAATTCAATTGTGATAGTTAGCGGTAAAAGTTATTTATTAAATCAATTTATATTATTATGACATTCAAATTCTTATAACAATTTTGTAAAACTACTTATAAATATACCTACAACCAAAATTAGTCATCAGAAAAATGTAGAATTATTTTATTTTTTGCCTGTAGATTTAGAGTTGACTTTTGCATTTTTCTCAAAAACTATAATCAGTTTTGGTAGAAAATGCATAGACATGTGTTTATTTCAATAGGATCTACATCTTTTGTCTAAAAAATTTTTAGACTTTTTTAATATTTAGTCAGATAAATTCAAAGAACTATGATTTTTATAGATTTTTTATAGTTTATAGCATTAAAAATTATGTTTGTGGGTTTTAAATTTAAAGCATATTTTTAACTTAATAAGGTTGATTTTACTTAAAATCCTTAACCGGCATACTTGGTTTTCAAATGTATATGACACCTGTTTGAAGAAAAACTGCTTAAGTGCCCTAAAAAAATGTACACGGAAAAAAATCTTCACCTAAAACAGCGATAAGTATATCACTGCAACAGCGATATGCTTCACTTAAACAGCGAAAGTTTTTACTAATCTAGAGAGGCATATCGCTGTTCCAGATAAAGATTTTTTTTGTGTATAAGTTTAAATGCAATGGCGATTTTTATTCAAATATTTTTTGACATATAGATTAGAACAAAACAAAAGTATAAGACATAATGTTGCAAAAAAGAGGACTAAAGAGAACATACGATTATTAAAAAAAGAGGACTAAAGTAGGAAATTTCAAATTTGTCTTTTATTATATACTATAAATAGAGTAGAGTAGGGTGAGATCACCATGGGGCGAGATCACAGAGTGATTACTGAAATCAAAACTCATTTCACAACTTTTTTTTAATTTTCGCGATTTTATTTTGAGAAAAATTTCATCAAAAAAAATTTAACGTAATTATTTTTTATTAATTTGAGTCTTCTGAATGTGATGATGTGGTTTATTTTACGATTTTTTAAGTGTTTTAAAAGTTATTGTGTTTTTCTCTTAATATATATATACACTTGGGGCGAGATCACCACCACGATATTATTATTAGCTTTATTCAATTTTTAATTCATATTTATAAAATATTTTATTTTATATAACAAATTTGTGGCGAGAAAGCCCAAACGCAATTGCGATTCAATCAAATTGTCTAATTAAAGCGACAATCTCTGAAAATTGCAAAAAAAATTGAATAGTTATTTATAAAAGATTTTATTTTCTAAAATAAATTTAGTGTTATAAAATAGTGATAATTTGTATTTATTTGATGTTTTCCAATGATTTTTAATTAATTTTTTAATTTTTACTTCAAAAAAAAGATAAGTGGTGATCACTTGCAAGGGTAGCGTAGAATGGCTGTAGCTCGAAATAATGAAGAGACCGGAACTTGCGTCAATGGAGTAAAATGTATCCAAAAAGTCTATTTTTCAAACCTTTTTTGTTTTTGTCTTTATCGGCTCGGGGACCGGAGATACAGTTCGAAAACTGAAAAACTGGTGATCTCGCCCCACTCTACTCTAAAAATTAGTTTTTGCAAATATGATTGGTTTAGTATTGAAAAAAATCTTAATTGTATTTTGAAAACAGTGTTAATTTAAAAGATTTCCTTAGGTAGCCGACTACTGTATGGGTAAAAAGGTATACGTCTAATAACTCTATTATACCTCCAAGATCAGTACACAAAAATTTACTGTACGCATCTCTAGACGTTAAGGAAAACTACTGCGCAAGATAGTGAATATAGTATACTTTATCAAACCGTTTTTCCGTAATGTGGCAATAATTATTATGCGGACAGAGAGACATCAATTTTAATTAAATTAAAGTTATAATTTTGAAATTGTGACATTAAATTATGCAACAAAAATTTTATGAAGACAATGAGAAATTCAAAGTAAAATTTGAAGTGATTATTTTAAAATAACGCGTGTATAGTTCTTTGTTCGCAGCTTATAGGGATGTAAATTTACTAAGGGATAAACGAACAAAGGGTCACGTGGCTAAGGGAATTCCCTTTTCGTGAAAACTGAGACTTCTATCGCCCTTTATTCTAGAATCTCCCTCGCATTTATCGATCTATCAGTAATTGGCACTGCGTTTTCAAATTTAACAATAATCAATATTCTTTTTTTATTTAAGCAAATTTCTTTGTCTGCACAGTAAAAAAAAAGATAACGAGTTTCAAAACTGGTTTAACAAGAATTATTGTTTGACCTATAGAAGAATTGTTTCCTTCCTTATTCATTATTGACTATATGTATAAGCTACTAAAGAAAAGTACTAATAGATTTTTGCATAAGAAAAGCTTTTCAGAACAATTGTGATATGTCATTTATATAAATCTTTTGTAAATTAACCACCAGTTGGAAAGAATTTGTATATTAATTTTGGAAAAGGTTCAAAGTAAAAAACACTATTTTAATCGTATTCAATGCCATATTTTATTAAAAAATCATTATTGCAAAAATATTACTGAAGTAGTCTTTGTGGAAAAATGGCGATATGCATTTTTTTTGGTCACACGCAGTATAAAAATTTACTATTTTACATTTGTATATCTCGTATATATTTGGAAACTACTATATTCATAAAAATGGCACTAATGGTCAAATTTACAAAACAAAACAACGAAAATGAACTTGGAACCAAAATTTTACGATACCTAATAATTTAAAATTATTAGGCTGTAAAATAAATAATTGACTAACGCGAAACACACTCATGTAAATGGCAATTATCAAAATATTTATCTCGTCTTAAAAATACTATTGAAAAATTTGATTTTTTCATTCACTTTGATATTATAATATATAACTATCGTATATACATACTAACACTGTACAATAACCCTCAGTCTGTGAGTCCATAAATATAGTATTTCTTAAATAAATATTTTATCTTATTTAACTTTTATTAATATTTATTATGAGTAGGTACTCATATATGACTATATCTATTGACTATGTCACGTTAATTATCACGCCCAAAATACATTTTGTATTTCGTTGCAATTAAAAACTTGTTACACTGAAAAAAAATTTATTTCATTCTAATAATTCATACCAAAAATTTATATATTAAAACCAATATCATTATATTGATTCAAATAATAATTATTTGATAAAAATAAATAATCATTATTGATACTAGACAAGTAACCGATTATTTGAATATGAAATAAGTTTATTTGTTTTCAATGTAATCTTTGAAATTCCTGAGTGCATCTCGAGATACAATATACATATATATAATAATTTAAAATTTTTACAATAGACATTTGTACAAAAAAATTGATTTAGAAGAAAGTTCCTAAAAATTATAGAAAATTGAGGTAAAGTTTCAAAATAATTGATTTGTACTTTACGTTTCTATTAATATTTTTTCAAAATTGAAAAAATATCTCTATTATTTTTAATTTTCTGTACAGGAAATTGTATATATTTTTATTTTACCGTTCTAATGAAAAAATTAAAAATACATTATTCATTATTACAAAGAGATTTTCCATTTTCTAATTATAATGAGCAGTGGTATGAAAATTGTCAATAATTTTTTTATCAGAACGACAGTTTGAAAATACGCAAATATAGAATATTTAAACACAATAAAGACTTTGGTACACTAGAAATGATTTTATGTTATGGGTAAACTATTAAGATCAATAACTGCATCAAGTTATTGCAGAAGGTAATCATTAATAAGCTAATTCAGCGCCCCAGGGTCTATAAGGTTTTCCATGTTGCTGTTGAGGATATTGTCCTGGATATTGGCCCCATCCGAGAGTGGTACCTCCTAAGAGGGGAGGCATACTTCCTGAGCCTGGAGGCATTCCATTCGATACTGAACTCGGTGAATCATAACTCGTAGTTGTTGAGCTTGAACTCAAAGTTGCACTCGATGGAACTGCAGTTCCTGTTGAATGAGGATGTTCCCTGTGGAAGCTTTGCAAATGAGAAAGTAACCTCAGTCTCAAAGGATCCCTCTCATCAAGACCTTCCATTGTCACTAAATATCGACCCACTTCTGCTGCACATTCTCCCCATCCCACAGCATGATAATCCATCGCTAATTTCGTACTGTCATAACCTTCTGGTCCTGAAACAATTAAATTCATTTTTTATCAAAATAAAATACTCATGATATTTACAAAATAAGATTTTAAAGTTTTGGAAAGTTATTTCTAAATTGAACTTGTCACGCCATTTTCCCTTTTTTCCACTAGTGGAGTTGCCGACATTGACGTGTTTGGCTTTAGCAGCCGGCCGTGTTTTATTATGATGGGGAATGGGACAGGTAGCGTGGGAATCGTTTAGACCCCCATAGGCTCACGTATTTATATATAGTCCATGAAGGGTGGCTTGTAGCATGATCATCTCATAATAGTATGCAAGCATCTAACCCCGTGAGACTTTGGGTGCATGGGGTGCGCGACCAAAATAGTCAAAATGTAGAAATTACTAAAGTAGTAGTCTGTACAATGTCACTTTTAATCAAATTACCAAAACTTTGTCAAATGTATTTTTTCTCATTCAATCAATACACAAAAGACTCATATATAATTCCATTACTTTGCGGTATCAATACACCCCACTGCTTAGTAAATATTGCTTTTTTATCTTCTCTTCATTCAATATTAATCCCTTTCTTCCACACACTTTATCTCAATTCTCTTTTATATGAATTCATTCAAGAACAACTTTACATAAAATTAGATACATATCAGTTTCGTTCAATTAAACAAAATTTCTCTATTTTTAAATAAACTTGGTTGTTTGAATAAAATTTTGTTTTTAATTAACCAAATTTTATGATCAAACTAATAAACAAACATTTTTGAGAAAGGAAAAATGACCTATTATACTTTTGTTGAAATCAAAAGAAAAATGCAAATTTTTGGCGATAATTGTATTTTACATAAGAATAACACCTTTTGATTGTGTATATCGATTAAGGAAATAAATCGTGTGCAATGAATTTGAAAAGGACTAAAATGGTTTCTTGTGGGCAATTGATCGAGTGAGATATCTCGCCTAGCTCTCTATCATTAATTGGGAATATTAAATTTAATATCACTTCGCAGTCGACCTCTCGAGTCATGCCGGGTAACCACCCTACATTTGCAAACACTCGAGTACAGAACAATCGTTAAGCAATATTGGAGCTGGTTTCCCACAGAGTCTACATCTGCCCCATGCCGTAGCTGGCACCTATACATGTATATATCCCATAGCTATATACTTGAAGAGGGGCGCGAGTGTTTCCCCTTATCCCCACTATTACACCCCATCACCAATCCCTCTTTCGATATGTTCCCTCTCCTTCTTGCACCAATCGTGGGAACGCAACTCGGAAGAGTTGTTGACTTCCTGTGCTTCCCACAGGATCTCGATTCTTACTATAGCATTGAGAATGAGAGAGATCTAGCACCTGCTCTAGAATCGAGCTCTAAACGTCGGCATTCTAAAGATGACACCCCATTCATGGAAACTCGACAAACTTTTTAGCACAATAATCGTAAGTAAACTTTGCTGATGCTTAATACTTTTCTTTCAGAAATCTAGGTCAGTTTGAAGAATTATATTCTTTTTACATTTAATTAAGTTTTCATTTATTCTTTTCAAAAAAAAACACTAGCAAGTGAAAAAATGTCAATTTAAACATTTCTATTCACTAAAAACTAAAAGTATATTATTCAAATAGTGATATTATTTTAACTGAAAACTGTTTTTGTACCAATATTTGTATTTGTAACAAATACAAAAATTATTGGTACAAAAACAGTTTATTTAATTCAAATAAAAATTATTTAAATAACATAGCTCGACAAAAAAAAAATTATGCCTGTCGATAAAGCTGCCATATAGACAATATCTTAAATTTCAGGCACTAATTTCATGTTGACTTGTGTAATCTTTTAATGCAAATAAATATTTATTTGATAATAGTCGCAAGTAACCGATTATTTGAATCAAATAATTTTTTCTTAGGTATAAAAAGAAAGAAATACTAAAAGCCTGGTAAATTTCATGAGGAAGTGATATAAATTTGTTTTTTTTTACTAAAATACTATTATATATAATTATGTAGTTCGGAATTATACAAACTACATAACTATAGAAATTTTACAAAGTGATATAATTAAACACTTAATATAATGAAGTTATTATTACATTAAGTTAATTATTCAATAATTAATAGTTTTTATAACTATAAAACCAGATGAATCAAATTTTAAAAATCCACTCAAATTTATCAATACAACTTTTCTTTGTGTAAACATTCATGCTCTTTAAATGTTGTTATAATATGTGTGAAATACATTTATAATTTATATTTACACTAAGTTTAAACTTAAGTACCGAGTGAAAAATCGGATGAAAATCAAAAGTGACAAATGAGAATGTAGTTATATGGAAACACCGAAACAGTAACAGTTAATTGGTGGCTTTTGTCGAAAGAAATCAAAGGTATACGAGGGTGTGTTGCCAGTCTAAAGAAGGACTTTTTGGATTTGATGCCATTCAGGTCCTAAGTCTGTACTTTAGTAGGTAACAGATGGCGATTCGGTTATCGGGTTACAGTTAGTTAGCTTCGCCCTGTGCCCTTGCCATGCCGCCCTTACGGTCAACAGGTGTCTTCCGGCCAGATAAAAAGAAACTAAACGAACACTCGATCCCACAGCCACTGTAACCTTAATCGTAAGAGAAATTTCAAAACAACGCTTGTTTGTAAACAAGAGTCCTCTTCCAATTTATGCTTGTGTATTATATACTTCAATATTCATAAATTCAAAACATAATTAAGTGGAATTTCTGTTACTTTCATTAAGCTCCTCATTCACGTTTCCTTATTGTATAAAGTTTCACATTTACAGCAGTGTAAAAATACCAATGCTAGTTATTATAAATTACTCTTATTGTTCTTTGCATGAAGAATTCTTTTTATAATCAAGTACTATTTTTTTCAAACTATAAACAATTATTATTATTAATAAATAGGACTACAAGTGAAATAGTCTTAAAAAAATTGGAAATCTAATTTGAAAAATTAAAACTTTTTTTATGAACCGGAATCGTTCTAACGCAAATCAGAGAATAAACTTCCTCCTGCTTATTTCTACGTTGCCGCCTACTTTCGGTTACCGGAAGACAAGGGTTGTTCTTGAAGGGTTAAATTGAAAATCAAAACGAAGGTTCAAAACGGAATCTCTCAACTTGTATAAGATCGAGTCACATTTAACGGACAAGTAATGTTATTTCCGGCCGTTGATACTTTCTTCTCACAATATAAACCGTTAAGAAAATAGTTTATTGATTATAAACATATTTAGTGCTCTTCACATTTTTCTTTGCATTAATTTTCTTGATTAAAAAAAATAATAATATAATGAACTACTATAGTGAATATAGTTAAAATTTGTACTTGATATATATCTTCTCATGAATATTCAAAGAGTTCTTAAAAAAGATGAAATTACATTTTCCTAAATTTACCTTTATTTCTGATGGTACGCAGATGTTCAACGGTGAGTTGAAGTATTTCCGCCTTTTCTAATTTTCCGCTGTGTGGATCTCTTGCCGCCGCAGGTACCAATCTTCTGAGTTCACCGAGGGATGCATTTATTCTATCTCGACGTTTCTTTTCAATCATTCCTCTTCTCCTTTTTCTTGATGCATGTTGACAAGAATCACCTCCAGGCGAGTTGCAACTAAAAATTAATTTTTTCACTTTAATAAATATTAAATAAAACTCTACACAGAAAAAACATAAGCTCACGTGCATACGCTACCAGCAACAAAAATGAGTCTAGGTTCTTTCTGTGTACTCAACTTTATTAATTAAACCATTAAAAATAATAATACGAATGAATTACTAAAATTAATTTACTAGAATTTTCACTTGTTATAGAATTTCATTAGCTAGAATTTTCTTTGAGTCCAAGTTTAATATCTTCGAATTTATTAATTGACAGGATTTCTATTTAACCGATGTTTCATGAAACAAAATTGTTATATTTAACCGAAATTTGACAAAAGTTCTATTTGAAAAAATTAACATTTTGCTCCAATTTTCATTAATGAGAATATCTATTTTGATGAATTTTTGTAAGATAGAAATCTGAAATTTCACCGAATTTTTATTTTTAAGGAATCTTAAAACGCCGAATATTTCATTTGAATTGTAATTTAGTTATATCGTTCATCATATTGCATATATAATAACGCAAAGATTTTTAATAATGTCGATTTAGAAAATTTTAAAACAATATTTTAATTTTATAATTATTTACAAAAATCTGTAAAAACTTACGGTTCTTTGCCACTCTCCTCCGAAAACACATCATCACAATCCGAATCACTTAAAGTCCTTTTAAGATTTCTCTGGTGTCCTTGAGCTTGAGAATGCTGCTGTGCCTGTTGATTGTCCTGAGTTCTAAGTTCCGTTCCATCAATTTTCAATTCCGGAAGTTCGTGACTTGGTCTCAATTCTGTTAAATCGGGCCTCATACCAGACATATCTTGATGCCTAATATCATGTGGCCTCTGCATTTCCGGATGTCTTAGTTCTGGCCTTATCATCTCAGGATGTCTCTGCATTTCCGGATGCCTCAGTTCCACTCTTTGGAGATCAGGATGCCTTAATTCGGGCCTCAACTCACTGGGATTTGTTATTCGTGGATCGGTATTTCTCATATCGTGATGATGCCTCATATCCGGATGTTGAGGAGGTGTCTGATAAGAGGGATGATGAGGGGGTGGAGGATAGCCCCAGTGATGAGACGCTGGAGCACCGGAGAGGCTGGAAAGGTGACCTGATGGACCCATAGTTCCTGTACTAATTTCAGAAGACAGTAATGTACTATTGTCATCCGAACGAGCGACTACAACTCGCCACATTTTTTAGAAAAATTTTTTTTTACACTTTCAATTGTCTATTTGGATGAATTCTTCGAATACTGTTGTGTATAACTGAGAAGAAAAAAGTTTTGACGTTTTCTCGTGACCTTGATCTTGAGGGAAGACAAACGCTTTCCCTCTCACCTGTGCGATATCGATTTCATCCTCGTGGTGTTATTCCATAAGCACACAACAGTTCCACATGTTATTTCACAGTTAAAATCACTTGATAAGAGAAAATAAATAGAGATACATCACAAGATAAGGTCACTTAAACTTTCTGTTTCATCAATTATTTCTATTTGTCGTCGCTTATTGTTGAGCAAATAACAACATTTCCTAATATCGTCACCAACTCACAAATAAAAAATCTCTCCAGTTTGTGTTGATTATAATAAATTGATCGAAATTGAGAGTTTAAAAGGTGTTTGCACAACTAAAGACAATCACGTGTAATCTGCCGGAATGGCGCGAGATTAGATGAACTTCCGAGATCGGCGGGAAGTGCGCAACGTCCAGTCGGCGGTCGTTTAGGGAACCGGGTGTCATCCACACGCGACACCTTCTTCTCCTCCTCCTTCTGATTTTCGCGAAATGATGTCTGATCGTTTTGGTATCAGACGGAGACGTATCTTGATAGGAAGGAAGAGGAGGCAAGAGAAAGGGATTTTTGGTGTTACAGGATGCGTGTGCACTGGTCGCGTGGCGGCAAACGTATGTCGTGTGCGGGCGGACGATCGCGACACACGACCTGATACGGGTGGTGGGGATCGGTAAAATGTTTCGGAGTGGGAGAAGGAAGGCGAAGGGCGAACCACCGACCGGCCCTTCGATATCCTATATGGAAGGTCCTGGGGTTTATGGGGTCCTGAAGTAAGGGAGGGTTGCTGCGGAGGTACGAGAAAGGGAGCGAAGGCGATTTCGTGGGAAAGCGTGTGGCGCATGGTACACTTAGATTGTTATGGGGGGATGAATCTTGTGCACGCGGCCAACAAGAAAGGTCGCATGGTGCAAGAAGATGATAACGATGTGATAGGCGTAAGGTCGAAGGTGAGCAAAAAGAAAGAACCTTTAAGAGTCGGAGGAAACGAATTTCCGTCGATTTCTAGGTCAAATTCCTTTAACTTTGCATACTGACATGGAAAAACAATCTTTTCACTATGGCAATGCATACACGGGAAAAAGAGAAACGTTGGATTAATACCGTTTTCCGATTGGTTCAACGTCAGTGGGCCCTGTCACGATTTCGGCATTGATTCAACAGACTTTTACTGTTGAACCTACTGTCCATCTATTGTTACAAGTAAGTTGATCCAACAGACACTGCCTACAGCGCTCCTTGCCGTTGAACCAATCGGAAAACGGTATTAATCCAACGTTTTTCTTTTTCCCGTGTAATGAGTTATATTAATTGACACTTTCGTGAAACCAATGTTTAATATAATTTAAAAACTATCATTTTAAGGAAATACATGTATTTTTGAAAAAATTTCAAAAAGAATAATTAGTACACACAGTTAGAAATCGGACTCTAACTTTACACCAAAGAGATTGAAATTGTATACTTACTTGTTAATGCTTGCATGACAATGGATGGACAAAATACTTTAAACCAATGAAATGAAAACATATTTGCACTTTTTTTTCGGTTAAGACCTTCCGCAGATTTTCACCGGACCATAAAATCTTAAGAAAATCTTCAAATATTCGGCCTTCTTCAAAAAGAATATGTAAATTATGTGTTTAACCTCAAGGACTAGATGTACGCGCTCAAACTTTTACAAAATTAATATTTGCGAATCAAAAATGATAACAAATGACTTTGAGATTATGGTGCAAGATAGGTCATTTTTGGGGATTATAGTTAAAACATTAAGCTTCAAATTAAGCCCAAGTGGAAGGTTCTACGACCTTTTGTTTCAGTGTTAGAGGTACTCAAAGTTAGCCAAAAAAGCGATTTTTGAACATTTTAAACCCGTTTTTCTCAAAAACTAGAGCTGATAGGAAATTTTCGTTTACGGATTCGTGTTCGACATGAAAAAACCTATCAGAATCAGGTCTGACATTTGCCGCACCAAAAAAGTTTGCTAATTTTGTTGGCCTGTGTTATTGATTAATAAAAACAAATACAAAAAAATTTGACACATTTACTTCAATTTATTCATACTTTTTGGAAGAAACAGACTTACCCTCCTCCGTAGTCAAACTTACCCGCACCTCAGATCAATTCTTCATTTTTACCATAGAAATTTTAATTACAATTTATTCAATATTTTCATTAAAAGACAATTCAAATAACTATTCTGTTTTATTTCTGAAGGTTGTCTTTGTACTATCAAAGAGTTTTTATATACTCAAACATTAAAATTAAGTAACTTTTTTTATACTCTAAACTTTTTTTGGGCGAACTTACCCACCTTTCCCCTATTCTTGATATAGTGACCAAATCAACGAAGCAAATTCAATTATATTAGTCTAACTAATGAAAAATGTAAGACCTTTAACGCTAAAACATTTTTAACCGCAATGCATTTGTAGTAACAAAGCCCAAAATTCTAATCGCGTTATTGACAACATTTAGATGTATTCCAAAATCCAATTCTGAGTCTAGTGTAACTCCCAGGTCGCGTATATTTTTTAATATTAAGAAAAAGTTTATTATTTGATGACCATTTATTTAGTTCATTAGGATCTGATTGAACATCAAGATTACCATAAAACTTTATAGAAATCATTGTTACCACATAATACTTCAGACCCCGACACGGTTAGTGGAAAATTTTTTTTACAGAAACCATTACTTTATAATTTGACTTGCTAGGTAGTTTGAAACGATGGTTACTATGACTTGTTAACATTCAATTTTTAAGCCATCAAAATCAACATTTTAAAATTTAGAGCGCAAAATTAAATTATAACGCGCATGGTCAAGCTGTGAAACAAAAACGTGAGGGAATTAAATGCTCTGCATAGGATGAAATGAAAGCTTAAACATTGCTTTTTAGTATCAAAAATCAAACAACTTCGTTTTGAACAATTAAAACAACTTAGAACAGGTTTTTGACTCACAGTGTGAGTTAAATATGACAATAAAGTATAGAAAAAAAGCAAAAATTTATCATTATGTCGAGCTACCTAAAATAACCAAAAAGCTTGCGAAGCAAACTTTCAGATGTTTACCACTGCACACAGAAAAAACCTTGTCTCATTTTTGATGCAAATCAAAATGAGCCAATGCTAAACGACATAGACAGTGGCGCCACCAACCTGGTTCATTTTTGTTGCACATCAAAATGAGCCGCCTACACGGCTCATTCTGAGTTCAGTTTTTTTCTGTGCAAGCTTGCATCTTAAAATTTTTTTTTTTTTGTAAACCTACATTGAGCACAATGTCTGTACTGCGCAATGTACAAAGCTTTGCAAGCTTACGTTGCAAGCTTTTCGTGCAAATTTACTATAGTGGTAACATTTTGCTAATTGTATAAAAAGCTTGTAGGTGAATTGGTACGGTTAAAGCCCATAAAAACACTGTACAAAACTCGTGCGCGCGCAGTCACAAAAACTGTTCTCAGTTGTTTAAATCATCTGATATAAAATTTTTTGGTATTGGATCTTAAAAAGCAATGTTTGAGCTTTCATTTCATCCTATGTAGAACATTTTATTCCCTCACGTTTTTGTTTTACAGCTGTGCAAAAAATGCCAAAAACGCGCTTTTTGGCACTTTAAAACTCTTGTTGCTCGAAAACTAGAGCCAATTGGATATTTTCAAGGTCAGATTCGGATATTCTACGGCAAAAATCCTATAAGAATCGGCTGTAACATTGTAGTCAACAAAATTTTGTCGGCCTGTGTAATATAAGTGTTACGAAGAGGAACAATTTTCTTGAATTATACAAAATTGTTCCTTTTTGTATCACTTATTTTATTTGACATACAACACATATTTTTTAAACATTTGTTTTTATACCAAATAAGTTCGCTTCGAGTCCGGAACCCTCGATTTCAGTGCGAGTGTAACTCGCACTTGTCCGATTTTTTTTATTTTAGAGTTATAACGACTGAAGAAATAAACTCAAGGAAAAAGTCCACTTTTTCCACTTCTTATCATGTTTATTAAATTATTTACATGAAAATGAAAATGAACATGAAAATACGTGAAAATAATAAATTTGAAGCCCTTTAGATAAAATTTTTTTGTTATTGGGAGAAAATTTATGATTTTCTCTAAAATTATCAATTTTTTCTTGACAGCACCTGAAAATCCAACTCCAATCATCCTCGCTATATTTTTTGTGTTATATAAACGTAAAAATACGTCAAAATGTATAAATATGAATCACTTGATATAAAATTTTTTCGTTTTTGCGGAAAAATACATTTTTTTCTTAAAATTATCAATTTTCTTTAAAAATTTGATAAAAATTGATCATCAACTCCAATCGTGCTTACATTTTTTCCCTATAATTTTCACGCAAAAATACATTTATACAGCAAATATGAACTGTCTGGGTTCAATATTGTGTGCGCTAGGGAGATTAAACCATTTTTTTGAAATTTTTGATTTTTCCTTGACAACGCTTTGTAAACTGATCCGAATCAAGTTCGCTATATTTTTCCTGTAATTTTCACGTAAAAATACGTAAGAGTACAAAATTTGAGCTCTTTATGTCAAAGATGTGGCTGCTGGGGGGGGAGGGGTACATAATCATTTTTAGGTATTTTTCGTAAAAATTCATGATTTTTCCTTGACAACGCTATGATAATCAATTCAAATCAGGTTCTTTAATTTTACTACTGATTGCTTACGATGTAACCCCGTATAGAAATTGACACTTTTTATCCCGATTACCGAACTGGCCCCTGGTTAGTAAATTTCTATGGACTTGATCAGGGCCAAGCCGGGTTGACATAATTAAAAAATTTTAAAACTAGTGAAAATACATTTATAGCGTTTAATGAAATTTTTAATAAATATATGAATATAGATAAACATTTTAATAATTATTAAT